TGTCCATTTTTATGGGCTGTTAATGGCCCGTTTAGATTTCTATTTGTAATTTTGGTTACAGCGCGAGGCTTGGGTTATAGGTGGATCTTCAACTCCGCTAAGTGTTCAGTTTACTGGTACATGTAACATATTAAACTTGAATCACAAAAGCTCAGAACCTTGCAATGCTGTTAACCAGGATTCGTTCTCAGTCGTTTATTTTGAATGTTCTCGTTAACATGTGTGATAATTTTTGTAGCCTCCAGAGAGGCTCTCTGGAAAAGCACCAAAACGAGAGAGTTGTGGAGATGAGACTGCTTCATTTTGTATTTAAAATTATCTTTTTTTCAAGATTTGCCCTGTTTATTATATCAACAGATATAGAAATGAAGATATATAATTACTTTTATCGTATACGGTAATAGATTATTGAGCATTAGTAATAGCGAGAGACTTAGATTAGAAGTCAGACAGGAGAGAATGACGTAATCAACCCTGGCTTGAAACACTTCCCCATCGTGATTACCATAGAAACCGAGGGACAACCAATCAGCATCTGATTTAAATTTTTCCCGCCCTTGCACTCTCCTGATTCACCGTTTTTATACTAAAGATGCATTATCTGTCTGGACGAACTTGGGTTAACATTTGTAGTTCGTCTGGTTATGCGTCTCTAGGATAAAGACGGGTACAAGACGTATTATGCGTCTAGACAAACTATCTCGTAGTGCGTCGTTCAAGACGAATTTCGAAGGATAATTCGTCTAGACGCATAATACGTCTTGTGCTCGTCTTTATACTGAAGACGCATAACCAGACGAACTACAAATGTTTGCCCAAGTTCATCCAAACGGATAATGCGTTTTAAGTATGAAAACGGCCATTGACTCAGTTTGGCTTGCCTTGTTACTCAGGTTACCACCGGAGTAGTTAACCATCAAATACAGTATTTGATGATTCAACCGTAGAAACGTCGCCCGAACATATTCCTTCATTGATGCTAATGCTTCTGTGAACTTTTTTTGCTCATGTGGAATGGGATTTAATAAACAATGGAATTTTGCACTCTGAAGTTTAATTTATGACGTGTGTTTCAAGCCAGTCAATATTTAGATGTCAATTATGATGTAAAAGTTTAAAACTTTTTTCTGTTAAAATATCGCAGGTATTTTTGTTACTGTAAGTTTTCAGTACCTATAAAGTGGAGTGATTAATTCAGTTATTATAAGTAATTATTATAGTGAACAATGATTACAGTAAATGTAATAATATTTACCAATAGAAAGCCAAAGACAAGTCCCTGGCTGAAGATTGTAGTTATTAAAATAATTTGGTCTATTCGATAGGCATATTTGGTTTGTGCTGGCACAAAGTGAATATAGCAAAGGAATTGAAATTAACTGATGGCTTTACAAACATAGTTTGTGCCAGGGAGGAAATAAAATTTAGTTTTCATGTACTCGGCTGAGTGTTTATATATGTGGCTTGTGTTTACGGTAAACTCACATAATTGAACAAAGCTGTAGTGGTGTGGTGTTGATAACAACAAAGGCGTTTCAATTGTTGCTAGACGGGTCTTACAGCAATTTGAACAATTTCCCCCTCTTGCCAGCTATCATGTTGATCTTAGGGCTGGTGGGATTTTTTGTGTTTTTTATCTGTTGAAAGTCCCTGGGTCAGCCCTGTTCATCTGCTGTCACAAAGTTAAGGGTACATGCGTTGCCGCATCGATCACGGCAAACGCTTAGTAAGGGAGACTGGTCAACAAACTGCATTTCCCGTCCTTTCCCGTCCTTGGAGATTCAGAGGTAGCAAAATATCAATGCAACGAAAGTTTTTGATAATCGAGCTATAATTATTACCTGTTGTAATTAAGATAATTAAGCGAAAGTGGCCGGTCATTCACTCGTCACGAATATTCTTTTTGTCGATTACAATACATTACTTCTTCCATCACTTACCGTCTGCTTGGGTGCTGATGACGATGTTGCCATTTCCTCAAGTCAAACCAATCTTTATTTTAAAAATAGAAAATCCTATCTCTGGATGAATGAGATCAGTGCTAGATCACCAGTTTGCCAGGTTTGATTCAGAGGAAAATTTTATGAAACACGGCCTAAAAAGAGTATATTGGCCTTGCGTAGAATTGTTTTGTTGGTGAAACGTTCCGATAGTCCGGCCCCGTGCACACTACGCCGGAGGAATTTGAAAACGGAGATTTTTCCTGTGAAAACGCATCAAATGTTTTCCGTCCACACCGCGCTGGAGGAATTTGAAAGAAACACTCGGTCAGGGAAATCACATGATCGTGACGTCATCGTCTTCGAAAAGCTCCGTTTTCAAATTCCTCCGGTTTGAAGGGCGTTTTCGAAAAGCTCCGTTTTTCTGACGGATTAGTGTGTACAGAAGGCCAAACCGTACAAATATAAACCTCCGGCGTAGTGTGCCTGAGAGTATAAACTCCCACCATGTAAACTCATTTGCATTGGTAATTGATACGCTGGGGATTATGAAAATGACACGTGTTCCACCCTATCACTCCACTTGAGGCCGTGACAGCGAAGAGGTTGGCGACCCTCCATCCCACCCAACGAGTAAGTCAGCCTTGATCTAGCTGTCCGCTTCTATTTTCGCCTGGTCTTGGGCTTGTCCCAGGCCAGAGCGATTCCCCATACCTTATTACCATGTCATGAATACCCATGGTAGAATATTAGGGTGCGTTTCTTTAAGAAAATCCAAGATTAGATTCTTAAATCCGAAAACGGATTTTGCGTTTTTTTACTAAACATATTAATCCAAGATCTCTCGGATCATGGTGCGTCAAAGGAACCGAAAAATCCACTCTGGGCAAGGATTCTTCGGTTCCTTTGACGCACCATGATCCGAGTGATCTTAGATTGATCTGTTCAGTAAAGAAACGCAAAATCCGTTTTCGGATTTAAGAACCTTAAAGAAACGCACCCTTACACTGTGACAGGACATGTTATCGGTTGGCATCTTTACTCGCTTCATTTTGTAATATTATTTTCAGCCAACAGTTTTTATTTCATTGGCACTAACAAATTTAAATCATTACCTACAGCTTTTCCTTTTTTTTTAAATGAAACACAAACTGGGCATGTTGCATAAATCGCAAATGGATTGCAAACACTTCTGCTTAAAAACCAAGAATTTAAAACGCGCAATTTAAACTGAACTGCTAAAATCGTTAATGGCAGCTGTTGAACATATCTCCCATGACGGAACTTCAAGAGCTGGACGAGGATTTGAAAATTTGATACAACTTGGAAACTAAAAGGGCCAAACACACCCTAATAACTGCACTTGCTATCCAGGCTAAAAGAATGTTAAAAAGGAGACTAACAGTAATTAAACATGCAACAAAAATGACGCTACCAGTGAAAGATGATCAGAAGATAAATACTTATTAGGAAGTCCTTGGCCATCAAGATTCCATATACCACTTTCACTCAACAGGCCAAGGTTTCCTGTCAGCTGTAGGGGTCCATGGTGCCTCCGACACCTGCGGCAGTACTGCTGCTGCCCAGGAGAAACAAATATGTAATCCACAGTTGTACTTGATTGGTCATGAAAGGTAGTAACTTCCTGTTGCCCACCTTTGAAGTAATGCCTGTAGACACTAAAGAAGTCAAATTTGTGTCGTAGGATTGTACAGGCATTGTAGGCATCTTTTTCAGTCGTATCTGTTACAGAATGCTTGCCGGTTTGTATTCCTTCTTCGTGCTCCATGAAATCCAGTGACTGTGACTGTGCAGTGTCAATCCTTGGCAATGATGAACTACTCTGTGGAGACTGAAGTTCTTTACTTTGCCCTGGATTGCACTGTGTAGAACTGGAAGTGTGAGAACACTCATTATTTCCCACACGATTTTCAGCAATTCTATAATTTGAAGGATTGCCTTCACTAGTCTCAAACGGTACTGCACCGTGGAATGAGCCATCACAACAAGATGAAACAGGACGAATTCTAGATCCTGATGCCTGCAAATTGTCTTGTCCCTCTGCATTGCTACAAGAATTTCCATCAGTTTCTGAAGACTCATTTCTCTTGGTACACGAAGTTGTAATTCCTAACTCCCATGGAATGAGATTGCTTGTTAAGGCATACTTTGGTGGATAACTGTTTCGAAAATGGCTCTGCCCAGAAAAGTTATCACGGTGCATTCCTGTGTAATCAAGAAAACCATGCACAACAAAACTATAAATTGGAGAAAATGGAGTGCTATTGAAATCTCCACAGCATATGATTGGATAGTACGAAGAACCTTCTTTACCAGGCGGGGAAATTCTTGCTATTTCCTCAAGTTCTGAAAACAAGCAAGACAGCTGTGCAAGCTTGATGTCTCCTCTTTTTCTGTTAAAAAGCAAATGAGTGTTGGACACACACACCATATTGTTAGCGTGGCGAGATGAACTGCCTGTAGTCCTGGGCTTCAACAGAACCACAACAGCTACATTGTCACGGTCCATTAGTTTGACTTCTGGTTTATTGAAGGAAACAAGCTTTGATTCAACCAATGTAAATCTTGATTCCTTAAAGAATGTGGCACATCCATCTGTCTTATCCCCAGATCTTTTCTTGTACAATCCAGCATAACCTTTAATTGTCAAATGAAAATGATGGCTTCAGTATTTGTGACATTTTAGTCGATTACAGTTCCTGTGAGTTTTTAGTAAAATGTATTAAGGTGACAATCAACCAGTTCCTGTATTAAAGGTTAGAAAAGAGCATACGTGTAGATAATGTAGTCCTTTATGTTCCAATAGTGTCATGTGGCACAAAATTTAATATTCAGTCAATTTGTATGTATTTTGGACATCAAAAAGTTCTTTCAGAGATCGGCATTTTTAAAGCATAAAATCGTAGACACTCCCATATCAGACTAGATTAACCACCCCAGGTACATTTTGCAACTTTTGCTTGTTACATTTTTATGGTCAAGTGAATATCTGATTAACAAATCGCACACCACAAGCTGCAAATTAAGCTAATGTTTTGGAACATATACCCAATATGAACAAGGAATATTATACTTTCAAAAGGTTTCCTTTTAGACAATCTTCAATCCAATCTGTGACATTCTGCAGGTTTTAATCTAATTATTTTTCAGTTTTCAGTCTTGGGCTCATTATAGCCAGCTAGTAGAAAGTACTTACACATAATTACATCAAGTCTTTGTACATATTGTACCATTGTCTTTTGTGGTGATTTATGGCATATCCCGAAAAATACCTTTCAACTTGTATATTTTTAATAACTTGTGGTCTTTGGGTCTTCAGTTACCACCTTTAGAAAAATACAGTACATTTCTTCCTACCAGGGCTTAAAGAGTTAAAAAGTGTCTATTAATCTACTGCTACATGTACCAAATCAATGGACCAACATAGTTTGCCAAGTGCAAAGACAGTTGTAAAATAAATAAACTGAGCGATAGTTGGTCTGGGCAGTGTAAGTTCTTGATCATTATTTTGAATGTTAATTGTCCGAAGCAAAGTGACTAGTACACAACTTTGAACATTCTTTTCTTGCACCCGTGACCCAGCAGTGTTTCAGTTTGCAGTGAACTTTGTTCTTTGTCAATTTCTGAAAACAGGTTTCATGTAACCTGATCTATACCAAAGTGTTTACAATTTTGTACCTTTTCCTCTCAGCTTGGGTTCAAACCAGTCTTGATAATGCTGTATCTCAACTTCTTGAAGGCACACAACCTAAAAACAGGAAAAAATTTCTAAACATGTAAATGGCAGGATTGCTTGTTCTTTTGATGACATATCATGACATATCAGTTACAAATATCGAAGTAATATAATGACAGCCTGAAAAATGACTCTTGGTAAAATCATAAATAGTGAAAGCATGTAAGAAACTGGACTGGCTTGTCAGGTTACCATTTTCAAGTACATTGTTATTTAAATCTGGAGCATTGTTGTGACTTGTTTATTTCATTATTCTTTGCCTGCATGTACAAGCAGATTGACTTTTGCTACCTGTGTAAAATAAAATCTCTCTTAAATAATTAAAATTTTACATATAAAATACACACGTGTGTTAACATGTGTGCGGTGGCAGAACTAGGGCCCCCCTTATTTTGGGTAAAAAAAGAAGAAATCACAGAAGGAAGAAAAGCCAGCAGGGCAAGCAAAAGAAAACTGCT